TTTCAAATAAGATACAGTGTACATACCAAACACTGCTGAAATGAATTCTAGATTATCACCTGGGAGTAAAGCTAGCAGAAAATGTTAGAAAGCTCACTGAATGGGGTAATGATAGATACAAACTCCAATATTTCCTAGACAAACTCCAATAAGAAAAAACAAATAAAAAATTAGCAGCATCCGGCTTATATTCTTTTTTCCTATAATGGGAGACATAACCTCCAACAAGCAGGAGCCAGTTGGCTTAGAGAAACTTAAGTTAAAAAAGCCAAGTTTAAAAAAACTCTTTCAAGTAGAATATGTAATCAGAATAATCCTGAGATTGTTCAGAGGCTGACCTCATGGAGTGATGAAAAGTAAACACTTAGTCACACGAGCAACACTTACCCCAAATAAGGCAATTTCTATGTAAGAGCAAAGCCTAACAGAAAGAAGGGAATAAGAGAAACATACACAGATAGTGACTGTAATTTCAGGGGAGACAGGAAGATAATTTTTTTGAAAATCAGGAAAAACATCCAGCAATATACGAAATATTAACAGAATTAAACTTTTGCCTAGGAATAACAGCAGTTAAATCCCACAATCAACATGGATTAAAGAATATAGACAGGAGGCTCACTGCACCAAAAGGGAGATGTCCTTGAGGGAGTGGGCAGTTAAGTCTCTGTAAAGTAACCTCAGAGGAACTTTTCTCTGGCACCCAGCAGTGATGCCTTTGCCCTTATCAGGACACAGAGTAGCAAGGGAAATCAAAGGCACAGGCAGTCATGCACTCTGCGCCCACCAAGGCAGGTCTCCATGTCCTTAGAGTCTCCACCTTGCACCTTTCATATTTCCAAGCAGTACAGAGGATAATCAAGTGGCAAAGTTCATCGATGAATGAAACAGATTTAGAGATGCACAATTTATTAGCTCAGAAACACAGAAGTCTCAATGTATCCATTAAGTTTATACAGTAAACATTACATAATTAAAATGTGCAGGGTACATGGAATGTAGAGCTCTGCCTAAATCACACTGATGTTCTGAATCCCTGAAGTGAAAAACACTGCAAAAGCTGTTTAGTAAGGTTTACTGCAGTTTACTTGTTAAGTCTAGATTTCATGTGGTAAAGCTCTTTTTAAACAAAATACTGACTTTGCGATTCTGGAATTACACAAAAGATTACATTTAAATCTGTTCGAAGGCCAATCTCTTTGCCTGAGACTAAGAGCTGTTCTCTAAAAAGATAATTTAAAAAGCTTGTTTTACCATAAAAGGAAAGCAAGTTGAAATGTGTTCCAACTCATTTACTTCCCATAAAATAACCTTGCAAACTGAGAGAGCCAGTAACAAAATAACTCTTATGGATTCATATATAAAAACTAAAAATTTTATCAATATTTAAAAAAGATATACACAAAGAATCAGATGGATGTAAACTATTTGCTTTTTAACTTCTAAAGCACAAGGTGAACTGATACTACACAAGCACTAAATAATGAAGGCTAAGTATTTAACATTTGCTTTTCCAAAGATTGAATATAAAAATATGATTAATATCATATATCAGTTCAAGATGTCTATCAATGAAAATAATGATATAAAGTTTGTGTGCTTGTCAGTAAATAATTCCAAATGGTTTAAAAAGTCTTCCGTATAGGGGCCAGCACTGTGGCGCAGCAGGTTAAAGCTCTGACCTGCAGTGCCAGCATCCCACCAGTGAGAACATCCCACATGGGGACTGGTTCAAGTCCTGGCTACTCCACTTCTGATCCAACTACCTACTAATGCCCCTGGGAAAACAGTACAGGATGGCCCAAGACCTTGGGTTCCTGTACCCACGTGGGAGACCTGGAAGAAGCTCATGGCTCCTGCCTTTGGATCGGTTCAACTCCGGCCATTGCAGCCATTTTGGGAGTGAACCAGTGGATGGAAGACCTCTGTCTTTCTGTCTCTAACTCTGCCTCTCAAATAAATAAATAAAATCTTTAAAATAAATAAATAAATAAAATAAAAAATTTAAAAAGTGTTCAGTAAAAATTTACAAAAGATGTTTTATGGCTTAGGTTTGCTTGTGATGAAACTTATTAAATACAACAATCGTTATTAAAGAATGTTATTAAGAATTGTTATTAAAGAATGCTTGTTATTTATTTATTTATTTTGACAGGCAGAGTGGACAGTGAGAGAGAGAGATAGAGAGAAAGGTCTTCCTTTGCCGTTGGTTCACCCTCCAATGGCCGCTGTGGCCAGCGCGCTGCGGCCAGCGCACCACGCTGATCCGATGGCAGGAGCCAGGTACTTCTCCTGGTCTCCCATGGGGTGCAGGGCCCAAGCACCTGGGCCATCCTCCACTGCACTCTCTGGCCACAGCAGAGAGCTGGCGTGGAAGAGGGGCAACCGGGACAGAATCCAGCGCCCCGACCGGGACTAGAACCCGGTGTGCCGGCGCCGCAAGGCGGAGGATTAGCCTAGTGAACCGTGGCGCTGGCCAAGAATGCTTGTTATTAAAGAATGAAATGTATATGACAAAAATCAAGCCAGAGGGAATCCTCACTATTCCAATTCTGCCCATCCAAATTTAAGGAACCAAATCAAACAGATTTGGAACATTTTTGAGATAAAACTAGAATCATCGATAACCAAAGACTTGCTACTTGCTACCTGAAATTTAAAAAGATCTTCTGTCAGCTGTTTCACTTCCCAAATGGCCCCAATGGCAGGGGCTCAGCCAAGCTGAAGCCAGGAGCGTAGAACTCCATCTGAGTCTCCCACATGGATGGAAGGGGCCAAGCATTTGGGCCATCTCCTGCTGCTTCCCAGGTGCATTACCAGGGAGCTGGATCAGAAGCAGAGCAGCTGGGACTTGAACTACTGTTCATATGAGATGCTGGTATCACAGGCAGGTTTAACTGGCTTTGCCACAATACTGGCCCCAGAATGGGATTTTATGTTCTAATTTTTCCTTCTAAGTTCAACATGCTTAGTATTTCCCAAGCTATTGCATAGTCCTCATAAATAGCACTGTATTAGCTGTCTAATAAACCCATTGAGAGAATTTGCTGTAATTCACATAACTTTCATGCTACTTCTGAATATTTATTTGGTCCTTTTTTTCTCCATAATTACAATGCAGTAAAAATCTCCAATCAGCTTTATCTTTATTTTCAACAAAAATTGTTCTAACTATAGATATTTTATAATATTATTTTACATAAAATGTTCACTAACACATTAAACATTAACAATTAAAAAGGTATTTTTAAAGTAAATAACAAGAATGAAGTAAAAGGATTTTTATATACTGCAACTCAGTAAAACATTTTTTTGGATAATTTTCTGTTCTATTTCTTTAGGTTCAAAATATAAATCCCAAAAGTTCAAAATAACATTAACTTACCAAAGAATGATAATGTGTAGTAAAAGTTTAAAATATTTTTTCTGAAGATTTGTATGTTAGATTATATATTCTTTTGGTTGATTTCAGAGGATACCAATCATCTTGCCCCAAATTGCTGTACCAAATTTATGTGAGATTTAGTAATTAGAAGGCAATAAAAAGATACACTCATCTTTGCTTTGTGAATATTTTTTAAAAGACAAGGAGGGGTGGACTTGGTGGGTTAAATTGTCGCTTGGAATGCCTGCATCTCACATAGGAGGTGCCACTTTCAGTCCCAGCTACCCTGTTCCAGTACCAGCTGCTTGGTAATGTGCCTAGAAAGCAGCAGATGATGCAAGTACTTAGGTTCTTGCCACCCAGATGGGAGACCCAGATGGAGTTCCTGACTCTGCTCTGGCCTAGCCCTGGCTGTTGATGGAAGATTTGTCTATTATTCTACCTTTCAAATAAATACATAAGTAAAATTTTAAAATGAGACAAAGAAATATGCCATATTTATTAAAAAATTATCTCAAAATAATATTAACTTATGTCTAATATTATAGTATCCAAAACTAACAAATTCAGAAGTTCTTCTAAAACTAAGAAATTCTGTGTCCTTAAAAGATCCCTAGGGAATATAAAATTTGTGATTACCAGATATGACCTTTACAACCCCCAAGAGCTCCATACATGGGGGCAATCACAAATGCATGCACACCCGCAAGATGGGATTATAAGCATAAAAATTTGTAAAACCATTCATTTCAACAGATAGGAGGAGGCAGACAGACAGGAAGGAAAAGGAAAATGTCAGAGAAAGCATTTGCCTAATCAGAAAAAGTATGGACATCAGCAACAAATCTTTATTAAACACAGTGACCTTTATTTGTTACTAACAAAAACAAGATATTATCACAACCTTGTGACTGCTATAGATTTAAGCATTTATGTGATTTTCAAGTAAAAATAAAATCACAGTATTTTTGTTTAGGATTTAGTAAGGTTGTCTAAATTACCTCAAAAGCCAACCTATCTTTAAAATCATCTTAAAGACAGCCGTGTACAGCATCCCAAGACTAGGTACAGTTGTCAGACTGCAGGACAATCTACTGCTACTCCTTCCCTCGAAATAGGAAGTTCCTGTTATCCTGAGGGCCATTTTCAGAAGTCAATCTGCAAACTAAATAATTATTTTTGTGGCCTCATTTGATCTAAGAAATTTATTTAAGAACTCAAAATTCAAATCTTTGATAAAATTAGAATTCAAATAAAACAAGTTAATGTTATTACTATCTCTTCATTAAGTATCCATAGGAAGTTTAAATACTTGATATTCCATTTATTGTTGCTCAGTAATGATTTTTATAAAATTAACAAGCTTGAAGCTTCCTATTTTGTGTGTACAAATGACTAACCTGAAATGCTTAGCTCCACTTATGAAGACAAATGCATCAGGAATATTTTTCTCAAAATACAGAGATACAATATGAAAAGGCCCACTGCTGTCTGAAGATGGCCCTTTGTACACTTCTAATAAAGCAAACACATTCAGTTCCTCATTTGTCCTCTGACTTTTCAATTTTAGCTCCTGGCTTCATTAAAATCAATGCGAAAAATACTCTGTACTCACTCTGGCATTCTATGAACTGATGAATAAAAGTGCAGTCCCCGCCACTCTTTGAAAGCAAGTGCTCTAATAAAGAAAGAAACACCTTTAAGGATATAGTTTATTGCTGTCTTTGAAAACCAACAGCAAAGTCAGAAAAACTGAAATGTATTAACATGGCTAACTCTGAGAAAAATTTGAATATATTTTAACACATATTTTGGAGCTGAAGTTAAATGACTGAAAATTCTGGCTTTATAATCATTAATCTGTACCCTAAATGGTTAGCTTTTTAAAGGTGCAGTTTTTATCCAAAGAACTACAACAAAGTAAAAAACCCATATAAATACATTGCTTTAACAAGCTTCTCCCATTTTAAAAATATACCTATTTTCATGAGAGCTTAACAAATTCCATTAAATAACTTAAAATTTTTGTATTTTTAATTACTAAATTAATTTGCAATTACTGATATCCAAGAGCCCCTTTACAAAGCTACATAGTCACCTTAGTTAACAGGCAAAAAATAAGTATCTCAAAAATACATAATTCTTTAAAATTTAAGAAAATACATTTTAAAATTTAATTTTTCATTTCACAAATAATCTTCCCTTTTGAGTCACTTAATCTTTACTCAGGCCGGCACCACGACTAACTAGGCTAATCCTCCACCTTGCAGCGCCGGCACACCGGGTTCTAGTCCCGGTCGGGGCGCCGGATTCTGTCCTGGTTGCCCCTCTTCCAGGCCAGCTCTCTGCTGTGGCCAGGGAGTGCAGTGGAGGATGGCCCAAGTGCTTGGGCCTTGCACCCCATGGGAGACCAGGATAAGTACCTGGCTCCTGCCATCGGATCAGTGCGGTGTGCTGGCTGCAGCGCTCCGGCCACGGTGGCCATTGGAGGGTGAACCAACGGCAAAAGACCTTTCTCTCTGTCTATCTCTCTCACTGTCCACTCTGCCTGTCAAAACTGTAACACAGTAGTTCTAATAAAAGTTTCAGTCCTTTTCTTACAATAATCTTTATTACTCTGATGCAAAGAATTAACTACTGAATCTGGATAATATCCTTCAATTACATATTTGTGTAGTTTGGGAAGTTTAAGTGTTAAAAATATATTCCAACATATTGAGTATCTGAAAGGTGTGGAAGCACTAAAACCTGTCAAAATGGACACAATTTCATATCACTCTCAATGTAAAAGCCTCCTTTCTCTTCATCTCAACTCTGCATGAGAAGCAGACACCTCCTACTCTGAGAGTACACCACCCTCTCTCGACATCGTTCTAACTAGCTGCCTTGTTTGCCTCTGTTCTCAATTCTATTATCATCCTTTATGTAGCTGCAAGGTGTGTAAAACCTCCAGTCAACAGTCACCATCAATGTAAGACAAAAACCTGGGAATAAAAGGTTAATACAACTCATGTTTTAGAAAGACCAACATTACATACTTGGGATGTTATACAGAGATAAAATATAGCCCTCAAAAGAAAAAATGTTAACTGCAAAGATATTTAAAATTTAAAAGTATTTAATAAACAGAATATGCCAACTGGAGACAAGAAAATAAAAACAGGAACCCTTCAGGAGACTATTAACTATCAAGATAAAAAAAGTTGTTTTACATCAATCCTAAGCTACATATAATACTTTCAAAAATATTATATCATGTTAAATAAGAAAACTCACTTAGAACCAGATTTTCAACTAAATAAAAGACTTCATAAAACCTATTTGAAATCAAATTTTAGGCTAATATCAATGAACTTTAGATGACACTTATTAAAGCAGGACATCCCACCACAATTCACAAAGCTAAAAGTCATTCCTTTCTACTCTGGTTTTAATACCTAAACTAAATTAAAATATTTACTACAACATTTTAGATAAAACCTGAGATGAGATTAAATATAAATATATATACATATTTATGACTTCTACAAAGAAATTGCCTATACATATGAGAGAAAAGCCTTACAGATAATATACATAAAGTATTTGAATCATGATCCTTTCAATACTCCATTACTTCAATTTGGGTCTTTAGGAATTCACTTTCCCACTACAAAATATACCAGTGACAGTCTCAAAGGAATCAGATATTTATAAGAGTGATGTCTTTGTACAAAGATACAGAGACAAAAAAGTAGAGAATCACTCTACTTAAAATGTATTTTATTTATATATGAATTTCCTATAGATTTTGACTTCTTATACTCACACTGTCCAACACTACAGACATTGGTCCACGTAGCTAATGAGTCCTGAAATGTGGCTAGTTAGGATTGAGATGTATACTAAGTATAAAACACATGTGCAATGATTTCAAATAATCAGAAAAGAAAAAGTGAAATATGGGCCGGCGCCGCGGCTCACTAGGCTAATCCTCCGCCTTGTGGCGCCAGCACACCGGGTTCTAGTCCCAGTCGGGGCACCGGATTCTGTCCCGGTTGCCCCTCTTCCAGGCCAGCTCTCTGCTGTGGCCAGGGAGTGCAGTGGAGGATGGCCCAGGTGCTTGGGCCCTGCACCCCATGGGAGACCAGGAGAAGTACCTGGCTCCTGCCATCGGATCAGCGCGGTGCGCCGGCCGTGGAGGCCATTGGAGGGTGAACCAACGGCAAAGGAAGACCTTTCTCTCTGTCTCTCTCTCTCACTGTCCACTCTGCCTGTCAAAAAAATAAATAAATAAATAAATAAATAAAATAAAAAGTGAAATATTACATTAGTAATCATTTAATATTGATTATATGTTGAAATGTAACATTTTGGATACTGTGAGTTAAATATATCATTAAAATTTGTTTTACCTTTTCAAAAATTAGTATTAATGTGTCAACCAGAAAAAAATTTAATTATACACGTAGCTCTCATATTTCTTTCAGAAAGTATTATTCTAAACTTTCTACGATATAATTATATTTATTAAATAAAATACAACAAATTTATAGAGGGGCCGATGCTGTGGCTTAGAAGGTTAAGCCTCTGCCGACAGTGCCGCCATCCCATATGGGTGTTTGCTGGAGTCCCGGCTGTCCCATTTCCAATCCAGCTTTCTGATAATGTGCCTGGGAAAGCAGTGGATGATGGCCCAAGTCCTTAGGGCCCTGCACCCACATAAGAGACCAGGAAGAAGCTCCTGGCTCTGACTCTGGCCTGGCCCAGCCCTGACTGCTGTGGCCATTTGGAGAGTGAACTAGCGGATAGAAGATATCTGTCTCTCTCTTTCCTTCTCTCTCTGTATCACTGCCCTTCAAATAAATAAATAAATCTTTTAAAAAAGTATGCATTTAGCAGCTATGTTATATTTAAATAATTTAAAAATGGAGCTCACTGGAAGAAGCATTAATTTTTAACATCTCTTTATATTTTTTGAATATTCTATTAAAACCATACTTGATACTCTGCTATTTAAATGGTAATTCTCATTAAAATCACGTAATATTATGGCTATGGACTTTGGCAATATTGGAATATTAGGTAATTTGCTTGTTATTATATTGCAAGTGATTTAGAATGTAATAAGGGATCCCTCTTAATCCAAAATCCTTTCTCTAACTAAATTTGGTGTAACACAGTTTTTTAATATATTGAGAAATTTATTACTTACCTATTATCTACTCAATTTATCATCACCAAAAAAAGATAAAAAACCCACACACTAACAGAGGATAATCATTATAGCAAGGTTTAAGTATTTAAAATATCTTATTTAGTTTTAAATCAAGCAGTCTACAACTATTTATAACGTAAAATGTCTCCTACCATTCTAAATCAGTTAAATTTTAAGCAGTACGTTGCCAACTGTATAAAGATGACTTCATGCACATAAAAGGCTTTTTGTAACTAAAGAAAAAGAAGGTACCTAGCTTGTGTTAACATTATTAATAAATACATTCTCATGTCAGGAGTGTGACAGATTTTATTAAAAAGTAAACATGCCAGAAAGAGAAAAGCAAGAAAAGTCACAACAGAAAATATAAAATCATTTAAGGAAGGTAAATTTTTGAAGAGGATTAAATAATTTTATATAAGTTTGCTGGACATATTTAATGAGAAGCAACTAGTAATTTTGGTGCAATGAATATAAACTACACCTTTAAAAATTCTCATACTGAAAATCAAGTTGAAATTTCAAAAAATCAAGTCATTTTACATATCATACATAGAACAAATAACAATCATTAATAAAACTGTTTTCCTGAGTTTCAAAACTTATTACATATGCAATATTGGGTTTTGACCTCGTAGTTGACATATATATGTTTACCTGAGCCTACTGTGTAAGTCTCGATTAAAAAACCAACCAACCAAACAAACAAAAAAACCAGCTTCTAATTGATTGCTGAGAACTATCAAGATATCCCGATACATGGAAAAAATATTCAATTTGTAGTTCTAGGTATGGGCCTTGTTATTTTCCACTAACTTTTACATCAAAAAATAAGATGACAGGCACATAGATTGGTAAACATAGAGAACAGTGTTCCTCCTTGTGTACTGAAAGTATCTAGTGCAGGATCTGTCACATAACTGGTATTCAACCAATATTGGATGGAAGGGGAGATGTGGAAGAAGAATAGGGATCTTCAAGACGGAAGTATTAGTGACTGCCGCTGTGGCATAGCAGGTAAAGCTGTCGCCTGCAGTGCCAACATCCAATATGGACAGCTGGTTCAAGACCCTGTTGCTTCTCTTTGATCCAGCTCTCTGCTATGGCCTGGGAAAGCAGTAAAAGATGGCTCAAGTCCTTGGGCCCTTGCACCCACGTGGGAGACCTGGAAGAAGCTCCTGTTCAGTTCTGCTCCGCTCCGGCCATTGCAACCATCTGGGGAGTGAACCAGCAGATGGAAGACCTCTCTCTCTGTCCCTGCCTCTCTGTAAGTCTTTCAAATAAATGAATAAATCTTTTGAAAAAAAAAAAAAAAAAAAGACTGAAGTATTATAAAAGCCACGTGGTAAAAAGTATCCCATGTAGTAGTAGGCCAACCAATAAGTAATGGCTTACAGTTTTTGACCAGAGAGAGCCAAACTATCCAGAAAGAATGGTCACAGAACTAAGAACTAATAAAGGAGTATAATAAATGATTTTATTCTCTGATCAACGAAACAGATGGATAAAGAGAACAGTTTTTATGACATGTCCAAGGGCCCAAACAATGGTTAAATAAACTCAAAACATTAAAAATGGGGATTAAGGGGCAAGTGTTTGATTTAGCAGTTACACTGCCACTTGGGATGCCCACCTACCACATCAAAATCCTAGGCTGTCCACTTCTAATCCAATTCTGTGCTAACACGCATACTGGAGAAGCAGGTGACAGCTAATGTACTTGTGTTCCTATCACACATATAGAAGATCCAGATTCAATCCTGGGCTTCTGGTTCCAGCCTGACCCAGCCCTGAATTGAGCAGGTATTTGGGGAATAAACCAGAGAATAGAAGAAAATCATTCCCCCTCCCTTTCACTCTGCTTTTCAAATAAAATGAAAAAAAAAAAAAAAAAAAAAGGGGGGGGGTGTCAATTATCATCTAGAAGCAGAGCTCAATGGAACAAAATGGTAATATAGCTCTTTGAAAAATACGGCAGGGGTAATGAGAGCCTACACAAGCCATTATTACAGTCGAATTTTATCATTTTCTTATTTAAATAGTTAAAAAATAGACTATAGCATTAAGTTTTACAAAATAAAAAGAGGTTTGTTTTTAAAAGATGGAGTTCAATGGTCTATGAATAGCAGGCTTTTCATTCCAAATACTTAAAACCCTGAACTATCTATCCTGATTAAACAGTAAAAGTATATCATGGGGGAAAAAAATTTAAGTTTTTTACACTACCTTTTTCTGTGCTCCCATTTATTTTAGGTAAGAAGTCATCAACTTGTATCCCTAGGATTAAGACAGTATATCATTGCCCAGTCAAAAAAAGTATTATTTTAACACTGGTCCCAAGTGTAACCATGGCATTTTGTATGCCTACTCATATTGAGATTGTACTGAACTTTTTAAATTCAGTGTTACAAGAAGGGCTCAACTTGCCATTTTCTATGATTTCAGAGAAAGAGCTTCAACTACTTAGTAGCCTTTAATGAATCCCAAAAGCAAAAGGATTCTGCTGTTCATGCCTTTTTCTTATGTAAATATCTCCAAGTACAACATCTCATACACAGAAATTCTATTCATCTCAAGGACTAAACAATGGTGCCCACTGGTGGCAATCAAGCATATTTCAAAAGGAAATTTTCTAAGTGCTTAAGTATTTTATACTGAACATGTAAAATATCCCTTAAAGGAAAGAAAGCATCGAATGTCAGATAGTAAACAGTCAAAAGTTTAACGACAAAATTCAGCTTAAAGTAAGAAATCTGGATGACACCTACCTAAGCTGCTGCATTCTTTAAGAGTTTTCTCCTGAAGATGTTCTAACCGTACTGTAAATAAAAGTCCAAGAAAAAGATATTTCACAGATAAAAAAAAAAAATCAAATAGAATCAGTTTCTGGATTAGCTAACTTACCTTGTAAAGCTGTTAGCCTTTCATTGGTGAAATCATTATCAGCTTGCAAAGCTTCTATTTTTGCCTGGAGCTCCTGTTCCTTTTCTTCCATTTCATCTATTTTATGCTGTAATTCTTTTTTCTCAGCTTGTCCCTTCTGTTGGATTTCTTCTTGTTTTCCCTCTGCTACCTGTTGAGAAAGAAGAAAAATTCAGTTATTTAATAAGACCTGATCATATTTTAATAAACCTTAGCGAGGACTGTCTTATTCATGTAAACATCTAGGGAAAGTATTCCGTATTCTAGAACATATTGGTTTCTCTAAACTGGTAAAAATAAAGGTGTAGTGTCAAAAGGATCTACACCGGAGTTACTCCTTCATCACACCTAGGACAGAGAAACTTTGAACAAGCAAGCAGTCTCAATAATAGAGCTTTAAGTAAAAGATTACATTTTTTATTTATTTGAAAGGCAGAGTTACAAAGAGAAAGAGAGAGAGAGAGAGTGAGAGAGAATGTTAGAGACAGAGACAGCTCTTCCATCCACTGGTTCATTCCCCCAACAGCAACAACAGCTAAGGCCAGGTCAAAGCCAGGAGCCAGGAGCTTCTTCTGAGTCTCCCACATGGGTGGCAGGGGCCCAGGCCTTGGGCCATCTTCTGTTGCTTTCCCAGGAGCATTAGCAGGGAGCTGGATCAAAAGTGGAGCAGCTGGGACTGTTGTCTATATGGAAGGCTAGCACCATAGGTGGTGGGCTTTACAGGTTATGCCACAGCACCAATGCTCAAAAATTACATTTTTTAAGAGGGAAATAAAACAATTAAAAGTACTATTTTTCAACTTGTAAGTTATAAAATGTAACTTATTCTGAAATTTTGAAAAAATTATATTTAGCTAAGGGAATAATGGTACAAGTACTTTTTCAAAAGGCCTTCTTTTAACAAGACCAATTTTTAAAATCTATCATAGGTTAACCGATCACAGAGCGAAGGAGGGTATGTTTTGGTCTTAACAAATGCATACCTTTGAAGCACTCAATCCATGGATACAATTACATCAAGATGGATCTTCACATACTCAGTTATAAGATTCTAATGAACCAACTAGACATTACCCAACGGTGTGCTCTGTCCTTAACTTACATGTTCATAGCTACAGGGAATCACAGCTGAACCAGAGTCAATAGGATCCTTAGAAGCTAAAAGAGGTCAAGCAGATCACTCCAAAATTCCTCTGAGCTAGTACCAGCATTCAATAGCTGGGCCTTATCATTGAGATCTAAAGATAAGCAGTGTCAGGTTACAAATAAAGCTGAATACCCTGGGTTTTGCTGATGCTCATCTACCAGCAAAAACTTCCTAGCATATATTAAAAGCACTTACTAAATTTTCATCCAGAGGAAATATTTCAGCTTTTAATTTTCTATGGTAATGGAAGTTGGGTTAAATGGACTATAAGAACCTTTTTTTCATGAATTTCAACCATTATCAAATTTTACATCAACTATTCAGCAACATCTAACCTCTTAAGCTAGCCAGTGTATTACACACTATTTATTTAACATACTTTAAAGTTGAGTAAATACATACCTTTAGCTTATCAGATAGATCTTTAATTTCATTAACAGCTCCATTATATTTATTGGCTAATTCTCTTAATTCTTCCTGAGTTCGTTCATTCATTTCTTTCAGGTGGGTACATTCATCTTCAGTATTACTCAGGCTTCGCTGCAATTCAAGTTTACAGGTGATTTATTTAGAATAAATGTAAATGTACATTTATTAACTTAGAACCTCTTTTAAATTTAGCTTACAAAAAGTATAACTCTATGGGTACTTCTAAACCAACACCTGCCCTAGACCTCATAAAAAACTTAGTTACGTAACATAAGAATTCAATGTACTTCAAAACATAATAAAACAAAAAACACAACTAAAAATTTGAAGAAAAAAAGGGGAAAGAGCAGGTGGAAATAGGAAGAAGATGCTACCTTTATTAAATATACTTTTAGAAGTCCACCAAGTATCACTTTTAACCTTGAAAATGTTTTCAGCCTATTAATTTTCTTGAAAACAAACTTAATAATGTACAATTTAATAAGAAAATTAAAAGAGAGCTGGTAACTTTTCCCCTTACATATCAAATTAATCATGACAATGAATCAGGTACTACGGGATATGGCTATTACAAAAACTATCCCTATATTCAGGATATATTCAATTTATGATGGGCATTCTAACCAAATACAGCAATAGAGACAATTTCTGTTCTAACTCTACAATGTTTAAAGGAATGATTCATACAATGAATTAGGCTTTTGTTTTTAAAGCAATGAGAATCACACTGGATTATTCCTAAAGGATCCAGAAAAGGTGTTGTAGATAAACTGCCCTTTAAACTTCTAACACTGTACAAAGCAATTAGTTTTCCTCTCTGGAGGATGGGCAAAGTAACCCATGATATAAATTTTTGAACTTAATTCTGACCGCCCTTAACTAAAAGAAAAGCAAAACCAGATGTTGGGAGATCATCTTCCTGACACACATCATGGTCCACTGCACGGAGGCTGAACCATACAAGATGTATGAACAGCAAGGCTCCCTGGTTAGGGCTCACTTCCTTTAAGCACCAGAATTCACATGGTGAGGCTGGACACTTTTATCAACTAAAGCAGTGTGCTTGCTTCTTCCCACCTAACAGACAAATACTTCCTAGCCATATAATACTACCAAGTTTAAAAGACCCTGGAATGTTTAAAACAAAAAAAAAATTATACTACTACTTAAAATTTTTAAAAGTGAAATACCTCAACTTCTGAAAGTTTTCTAACAACTTCAATTTTCTCCTGAAGAACTCGCCTCAGGGACTCTTTGGCTGTTGTCTCATAGTTGTGTTTATCTTCCTGTAATGCTATAAGTTCCTTCCGTAAACTATCTTCTGTTTGATTCTAGAATAAAAGATATTTATAATTATAGCCAAGTTCTTTTATTTTCAAGAAAGCACTTACAGTTTGAAAAATTAACATTAAAATATTCTTTGAATTCTATATTAAGGTACTTCCAAACACAAATAGTGCTGGCCATGTATCAACAAAAACTGTATTTTTTTATTTTTAAAAATTATTTATTTATTTATTTGAAAGGCAGATTTATAGAGATGCAGAGGAAGAGAGAGAGAGGTCTTCCATCCATTGTTTCACTCCCAAAATTGCCACAATGGCTGAGCTGAGCCGAAAGCCAGGAGCCAGGAGCTTCTTTTGGGTCTCCCACACGGATGAAGGTATCCAAATACTTAAGCCATCTTCTACTGCTTTACCAGGCCATAGTAGGGAGCTGGATATGAAGTGGAGCAGCTGGGTCTCGAACCAGTGCCCATGTGGGATGCCGGCACTGCAATCGGCGGCTTTACCTGTTACACCACAGTGCCAGCCCGTGAAGCTGTATTTAATAACTGCATAAGCAAATTACACTTTCACAATTACATTAATCTCACTTCCAATAGAAAAAAAAGTGATCATTTCTCTCAAATACACAAAATTAAGTACTCTAATTTTTGTCATATTCTGCAAGCATTATAATTATATTTGTAATATATATTTGTGAAGATAATTTATAATTATCTTCAAATATATATTATATACATATATATAGGCTAGTGCTGTGGTGTAGCAGGTAAAACTGCTGCATGCAGTGCCGGCATCTCATATGGGCACCTGTTTGAGACCTGATGTGGCCCAGCCCCAGCCGTTGCAGCCATTTGGAGAGTGAACCAGTGGATGGAAGATCTCTCTCTTGCTCCTCCTCTCTGTAACCCTGCCTTTCAAGTAAATAAAAAATAAAATCTTTAAAAAAAATATAGGGGAGGCCGGCGCCGCGGCTCACTAGGCTAATCCTCCGCCTAGCGGCGCCGGCACACCGGGTTCTAGTCCCGGTCGGGGCGCCGGATTCTGTCCCGGTTGCCCCTCTTCCAGGCCAGCCCTCTGCTGTGGCTAGGGAGTGCAGTGGAGGATGGCCCAGGTGCTTGGGCCCTGCACCCCATGGGAGACCAGGAAAAGCACCTGGCTCCTGGCTCCTGCCATCGGATCAGCGCGGTGCGCCGGTCGCAGCGCGCCGGCCGCGGCGGCCATTGGAGGGTGAACCAACGGCAAAGGAAGACCTTTCTCTCTGTCTCTCTCTCTCACTGTCCACTCTGCCTGTCAAAAAAAAATAATAATAAATAAAAAAATAAAAAAAAAATAAAAAAATATAGGGGAAGCCAGGTGTCTTTAATTATGACAGATACATCATACTAATATAAGATGTTAATAATAGGGGACAGGGATGGCACAGCGTAGCAGGTAAAGCCATTGCCTGAAATACCAGCATCACACCCTGGCTGCTCCACTTCTGATTCAATTCCCTGCTATTGTGCCCGGGAAAGCAGCAGAGGATGGCCCAAGAGCTTGGGTTCCTACCATGCATGTGTGAGACCTAGATGAAGCTCCTGGCTCTTAGCTTTGGCCTGGCCCAGCCCTGGCTTCTGCCATTTGGAGAGCAAACCAGTGGATAGAGCATCTCTTTCTCTGTATCTCCCTGTCTCTGTAACTCTGACTTTCAAGTAAATACATAAATCTTTTTAAAAAGAATACAATAATAGAGGATGCAGGGTTTGGAACTTGAAAAATTTTGTTTTATAAATTCAAAACTTCTGAAATAAAAAGCAAAAAACAATACCACATATGAAAAAAGACAAAGAAAAGTACTTATTTTCTTCCCTTGAAAAGGAAATAATTTACTCTGAAAAAAAATATATATATATGTTTAAAACTAAGAATAGGAAGAAAACACATCACAGTCATTTCCTGGTCGATGAAAAGGAAGCAAATTGTTATTTTCAAATCAGTAAACAAGGGGAGGAAAATCACTTCTGCTTTTCTTGTAGAAAATGCACCTCAGTATAACCCATGGGTGATGAAGGAAAACGTCTCTTGAAGTAAACCAACTAAACGAATGAAGGAATGATATAATTATGTCACCACTTTTGTAATCTTTAATGAAATAATGGATCTAGGCAAGGTTCATCAATGATTGACAAAACCTCCATATAAAGACAATTAGACAATATGTCGCCTCTTAATGAAAGAACACAACACCATCCATGAAGTACTGTTTGGGGGTTGGAGGAGCACTGAACTTAAATCATATCAAATCTCTATATCAAACTACTTTGAACTAATTTATGGGGTGTGATAAAGAGTTAGAAGAATGTTTAAGTAAAAATGCAGATTGAAGAAAATTCTAGAAGGTAAGTGATCTAGTGTCTTCAATAAGCATCAACTACAAGAGAAAAATGAGAGCTATACATGGGCACTCAAAATTGTTTCTACTCACAAGTGTATCTGAAATTTCCCATGATAAAAGATTTAAAAGAATGCTGAAAATGCATCAATGTTTTAATATTTACTCAAAATGATAGTCAAAGAAAAGAAGCCACATAAAATACTATGCAATTTTCTTTACATAAATGAGATTAACACTTACTTTGGAGCATGCCTGTAATTGGTTTCCCATAACTTCTAACCGTGATAAGAGTCTATCTTCATCTATTAAAGCCTGTTGAAGTTAAATATAAATAAAAATTCAGAGTAATTTAAAAAATAACATACATATCAAAAAATTTACACTACCAACAAAAAATGAAATCATAAAATCGACCAATATCCACTATAAATTTCTAGCTTTTCAACATATGTTCATTACTTAAGAACTTATCTTTGTTTACTACAAAATTTGTTTTGGTTCACTCAAACTATAAGGGATGCTAAACCGTGTTTAAAATGTTTCTTAAAAATAAAAGGCAACTGAAATACCTGCCAACTGGTATCTGAAGCCTCTTGGGTGATGGCCAGTAGCCGCTGAAGTGTAGCTAACTTCTGTTCCAACATCTGTTCCCGATGTAAGGCCTCCTAATGTTATACATTACAAAAAAGATTTTAATAAACTCAGCATTAGTCTTTTGAAAAGTAATAAATCTTTAGCATATTTAAAATACATTTTCATTCCACTTGATATACTCCAAAGTATTTCAAACAGTATTTTAAAAAACATATATGCTACATCATTTTAGCCTTTGATGTACTTTAAGTACCACTCTTAGTGGTGTTCTAGCTGCAGCTTCATTTATAATAGAAAAAAAGTCACCTATTTACATATATATTATATTTATATAAGTTTTTCATTTGATTCGACAGACAGAAATAAGAATTAGAGATAAAGAAAAACATCTTTGTTCCACTGGTTCATTCTCCAAATGCCTATAATGGCCAAGGCTGGAACAAGGCTGACGTTAGGAGCCAGGAACACAATGCAGGTTTCCCATCTGGGTAGCAAGGACTCAACAATTTGAACTATCACTGTTGACTTCCAGGGCCTGTATTAGCAGAAAGGTGAAGTCAGAAGCCAGAGTCAGGGACTGAATCCAGACAATTTGGTATGTGATACGGGTGTCTTGAGCACTAGATTAACCGCCCACTCCAAGTCAACTGCTTTGGGCTTTGTTTACTTAAAATTTGGAAGGCAGAGTCTTTTTTTTATATATTTTATTTTATTTAATGAACATAAATTTCCAAAGTATAGTTTATGGATTACAATAGCTTCCCCCCCCATAACTTCCCTCCTACCCACAACACTCCCCTCTCCCACTCCCTCTCCCACTCCCTCTCCTCTTCCATTCACATCAAGATTAATTTTCAATTATCTTGATATATAGAAGATCAATTCAGTATATATTAAGTAAAGATTTCAACAGTTTGCACCCATATAGAAACACAAAGTGTAAAATACTATTTGAGTACTAGTTATAGCATTAATTAAACACCTAAGAGTAATTATGTATTAATTACAGAGTTCAACCAATAGTTTTAGGTAGAACATAAAAAATACTAAAAGGGTAAAGTATTAAGCTCTTTTTTTTTCTTTCTTTTTTTTTTTAAATCTATCCTAGGTGTGATGCTGTGGTGTAGTAGGTTAAGCCTCCACCTGCAGTGCCAGCATCCCATATAGGCACCTATTCAAATCCTGGCTGCTCTACTTCCAATCCAGTTCCCTGCTAATGGCCTGAGAAAGCAATGGAAGATGGTCCAAGTGTTTGGGCACCTGCATCCACGTGGGAGACCCAGAAGAAGTTCCTGGCTCCTGGCTTCGGATTGGATCAGCTCTGGCCATTGTGGCCATTTGGAGAGTGAATCAGCGAATGGAAGACCTCTCTGTCTCTCCCTCTCTGTAACTCTGATGCTCAAATACATAAGTAAATCTTTAAAGAAAAAAAAATCTATCCTAGAAGGGCAGGCGTTGTGTCATAGTGAGTAAAACTACAGCTTGTGACACTGGCACCACATACAGGGGCCAACATGAGTGCCAGTTGCTCTACTTCTCATCCAACTCCCTTGAAGTGCACATGGGAAGGCAGCTCAAGATGGCCCAAGTCCTTGGGCTCCTTCACCCACGTGGGAGACCTAGGAGAAGCTCCCGGCTCCTGGCTTCAGTCTGGCCCAGCCCTGGCATTGTGGTCATTTGGTGAGTGAACCAGCGGATGGAAGATCTCTTTCTTTCTCTGAAACTCTGCCTTTCAAATAAATTAATTAATCTTAAAAAAAAAACAAAAACAAAAAAACAAAAAAACTATACTAGGAAAAGCTAACAAATGGCTTAGGCTTGAATTTATACACACACACACAAAATATATATGTCAGAATAAACTCATTCTAAACTAAGACGAAACAAAATTATCTGGCCAGCAGCAAAGATGCTTTATAATGACTTTAATGTATTAGTATGATTTTTAAAATAAAACAGCTTTAAGGGTCAGCACTGTGTATGCCTAGCAGGTAAGGCTGTCCCTGCAGTTCCAGCAGCCCATATGAGCAGCCGGTTCGAGTCCTGGCTGCTCCACTTCCGGTCCAGCTCTCTGCTTTAGCCCGGGAAAGCAGTACAAGATGACCCAAGTCCTTGGGCCCCTACACCCCACGTTGGAGACCCAGAAGAAGCTGCTGGCTTCGGATTGGAGCAGTTCTGGCCGTTACAGCCATCTGTGGAGTGAACCAGTAGATGGAAGACCTCTCTCTGCCTCTACCTCTCTGTAACTCTGCTTTTTAAATAAATAAATAAATCTTAAAAAAAAAAAAGATCAGAAAAAAATGAAACAGCTTTTAATTTTTCCCTTTATTAATGTCAACTTCTAAAAAATGCTTCTTTATTAAGACCACTATTACAGCCATTTTTCACAGGTTTTCCAGGTGTTCTGAGTTTCTCTTTGGCTACATACCACTTACCAGCAATTAATAGGCTGAAAATAAGCAAGAGTCCAGCAAATACTGTTTCAATCTAATTAAGGGATCAAGGAGTTAAATAACTATTTGGCAGCTCCAAAGGAATATTTCACAGAGAAAGACACCTGTGAGCAAAGTCTGATCTCTGGATGACCTGTTAACATCTGATAGATGTTAACAGGACCTGCTTCATTGGGAGTAGTTTTAAGACGAACCACTCATGGCAATTAGTTGTGGTTTTGGCATATCTTCTTCACCGTCTTCTATTTCTGTCATCATCTAAAGAACACTTATTACCCTAATACCTTTGAGTTACCTCAACAGAGGACTGTATGCTTCAAATAGTACTTGAGGTTTGAAGCATGAATTTATAGCTTTTTACATCCTTTAATGATTAGAGAAAACTTAGTAGCATTAAAGTTAGAGGTGTTTATATTTTTCGTAACTCAAAAAATGTAAAATATCTAATAAAAGTGATATTGCCTCAGAATCCACAATAAAAGACAGCTTACATTTGAAAATGACTATGAAGTTTATTTTAAGCTCCTAAAGCATTCTTAATATCCAGGAAATTACATAAATGCTGCAAAATGTTTTACTGAAAAACAAAACCACCAACCAACTATGCCTTCAGAATCTACCTCCACTAGATGGTGTAATTACACCTTTCAAAACTCAATTCCATTTAGAGTTTCTTAATCCCATGAGCTACATCCTGACAGAAATCTAATTCTTCTAGTAAAGTTCTTTCAATTCAAAGGCATGTAATTCGCATTTCTAGTTTTTATTTAAAAGGTTTACAATTTATATTAGAACTATAATAATTCAATAAGGATATATACAGAATGTGTGGTACACTTTTCTCTTTAGAGAAGCAGAAAAACAAAGTGAGGTGGGGCTACCATGATTATTCAAAAGAACTGACAAGAGAGAGAGTGAGTCAGGGCCTGAAATTAGCAGACCAGGATGACCAGCAAGCTTGAGCATAGGATTTAACCATTATGAACACCATATTTCTCATCTGAAAAATTAAGCTTGGGTCAAATTAACCTCAAAGTTTTCTTGCACTTCTGAAAATAATAGAGACTTGGGTTAATAAAAGTTCCTTCCTATTGAAAAGTAAACAACCATTACCATTTGTGGGCATACATTCTATGCGCCGGGCAATATTCCATGTGCTTTACATATTATAATTCATTTGTCCTTCACAATTCAATGAGGTAAGTGCTATTCTTCTATCCATTGCACAGATGAAGAAAATGAGGCACAAAAGTTTTGAACAACTTTTTCAACAGATCAGAAGTTAAAGCTAGGGATCAGAACCAGGGAATTCTGGCTACCCCACACACTTTTAAATACTCAACTGAAGCCCAGATGTATATAGCTTTTTTTTTTTTTTTTAATATAAGAGAACATTATGCCTGGTAGAAGATGTAATTAACACAATGAAAATTTTCTGTTCATTTTTATGGATCTATACATTCTTAACTGAAGTAGAACTTCTCTACGTGACTGATTCCTATAAAAGAATGTAGGAACCCAGGATCACTGGTTTGGTCCTATAATTTTAAACAAGACATCTGAAGGTCTATGCACATAAAATAACTCACCCAAGGTCATGGAACTAATTGAGCAACAGAACTAAGATTAAGGAAACTCAATATTTAAACTCCTAGGACAGAATTTTCCATAACCATGTTCCCTCATCAGAGTAACTATAATCCAGTCCAAACCCACATAAGCCAGTGACTGGGGTGTGAGGGAGGGGGTGGGAAGTTAATTTCTTTCCTAGTTAGAGAACTGTACAGCTCTTTAAATATGGACTCTTCTTCGAGAGTCCATTCTAAGTATCTGCTCTACCAAGAAATCTGTCTCTGGATCCACAAATACATTATAGAGGTGAAGAGCAAAGACTGTAAAGTCTGTCAAATCATGGTCATTTCAGGCTGGGTTCAAAACCCAGCCCCACCACATACTAGATGTGTGATACTGTGTAAATTTTTAAATCTTCCTGTCTCTCAGTTGCTCCATATGCAAAAATGGGAACAAAAAACGTACATCACAGAATTGCTACAATGATTAATCAGTGTTTGTGAAGTGCTAGAACAGAGCTAGCCATACAGTAAGTGCTAAATAATTATGTTATTAATATTGTTATTAGGCAACCAAAATCTCTGCAGGTTTAATTTTATTTAAAAGTCATCTATGAATAAAGAACTATTTTGGAACTTTCTCATATTTGAAGAAAAATTCTCTCTGTACAGAGGGTTATCTTCTCTAAACAATTCTGATTCTTTTATCCTTTCTTCATAAATCTATTTTTGATCCTTTGTTCTTTGAAAAGACGATATTTCTTTTTTTATAGTTTTTTTTTATTTAATAAATGTGAATTTACAAACTGCAGCTTTTGTATTGTTGTGGCCCCCCCCCCCAACCTCCCTCCCTCCCGTGGCCCTCCCCTCTCCCACTCCCTCTCCCATCCTGCCCTTCATCGAGTTTCATTTTCAATTACCTTCATATACTGAAGATCAACTTAGTATATACTAAGCAAGGATTTCAACAGGCTGCACTCACACAACCGCACAAGGTATAGGGTATTGTTCGACTAGTAGTGTTGTTTTAAAGTTTCATAGTAGAACACATTAAGGACAGAGATCCTACGGGGGGAGCCTGTACCCAGTGACTCCCGTTGTTGATTTAACAATTGGCACTCTTATTTATGACGTCAGCAATCACCCGAGACTCTTGCTATGAGCTGTCTAGGCTATGGAAGCCCCTTGAGTTCACCGACTCTGAACTTATTTAGTCAAGGCCGTATCACAGTGGAGGTTCCTTCCTCCCTTCAGAGAAAGGCGCCTCTCTCCTTGATGGCCTGTTCCTTCTGCTGGGGTCTTGTTCACCAGGATCTTTCATTTAGATATTTTTTGCCACCGTGTCATGGCTTTCCATGCCTGTGAGACTCTCATGGACCTTTTAGCCAGATCTGAATGTCCCAAGGGTTGATTCTGAGGCAGGAGTGCTGCCATTCTATGAGTCTGCTGTGTGTCCTGTTTCCCCCGCAGGATCATTCTCTCCCTTTTAATTCTATCCTTCATTATTTGCTTACACTGGTCTTATTTGTGAAATCTCATCGACACATACCCTAGAAAAGATGGTATTTCTTTTGTACTTGTATTCAGCCAATAGTTTTTAATCCTATATTTGTGACTTGGTAATATAAAATTTAAGTTATTTAATTCTGCTTTTAAAGAATTCTCAAGATTCACTTTTACCTGAAGATACTGAGAAAGCTGGAATAGTTCCTGAGAGTACATACTTGGAGTGTTAGCAGCAACCTAGAAACAAAATGACACAATGCCAACAATCCATAGAACACTTTTCATGAAAACATTAAAGACAAACCAATTCCTTAAAATGTCTATTTGCTTAAATACACAAATAAAAATTTTTAAAGTTATCCGTTTCCTTAGTTCTCAAAATATCTCTTTGCTATGTTCAAAATTTGTAAATGGTATTTATATCTCATTATCTAGTGTGAAATTTAAAAGTAGGTGGTAGAACAAGTGCTACTCATGAAAACATGAGTCTGTTGATAAGCCTTGATAAGCTAAACTGTAAGTCCTTAATAAGTCAAATTACAAATTTATAGCACAAAGGCAATATAGCTTTTGCTTAATCCAGAAAGAGTACCTCCTAGAACAGTAGATCCACATCTTTCTCTTTAAAATTCATTGATAAATAGTTCTCCAAAATACCAGCAAATAATTTACATAGAAGTAGCCATTTCAAAATGGTATTTGTATGTATGTGTGCTTGCTGGTGGGGGTATGGAGGCATGAAATTTAACCTTTTATCCTTTGGCCAGAGATAACGAAAATAGTTTGGCCTTTTTTTCCCCTTTAAATTATAGGTAGGTTTTAAGATAAAAGATGGGAAATAATGGTGTTTAAACACTGTGAAAATAAATTAACAAACACTGCAAATCATAGTCAAACTCTTAGAATCCAAGAGTATAAGAAAAAAAATAAGGGTTTCAGGGGTTTTCAGGCCTATGAAATAGAAAATTATGGTATTATTCCAAAAAAAGGAATGACACTAACAGGCTGCTGCAAATACCTACATACTCAACACTAACAAGGCCTAAGTGTTAACTTATTAATGATGTTATAGCATCATTCCTTTTTATGCTCATAAAGTATACTTTTATTAATATGGTGAGCAGAAAACAAAGAATCAGCAGTATTTTTTTAAAGTTCTAAATTGGCAAGACCATTATTTATTTCTGGAGTAATTCTTAGTATTTTACAAATTGAGGATTAAAAACAGCTTCAGTTTTAAGCAAGCTTTCAACCTTCACCCAAATGGAACAAAAAAGACAATTATCCCAATAGTTCAATTACTGCATTAAGAAAATCCAACATCCACTTTAATGTGAGAAAATACAAGATTTTTTGCTATTAAATAATAATGTCTATGGTTTAATACACCACTATTTCTGACCAAAAGAAAAATACTTTCTAGCTAGCAATTACTACAAAGTTTATGCTCAGATCATGTTAAAACTGATCTTTGAAAACAATATATAAACAATCTATGAGTCCATACTTCTGAACTATTTCCTTACATAGGTAAATGTTCAATGAACTATTTAGGTAGAATGTTTTAACAAATTTCTAAACAAAACTATAATTCAGAATAAAAAGTAATAGCTAACACTCCTTACCTCTAGCTAGGCACAAACTAGGTACTTCTAGTCTACACAGTCAATTGTTTGAGATAGCAAAGGCTTTTCCTGAAGAAACATTCATCTTAAATTCTTCGGATATTGAAGATCAGAAGATTAAAATAACTACATACTATATGTACTCTACGTATTTTGTTATAAAAGAAAAATAAGTTTCTAGAGAAAGCATATTAAAAAACAAAAAAATTCAAAGCAATATAAGTGAATCAGGCTAGAAAAATAATTATTAGCAACTTACTTTGTCAACAGGACTTGGTAATGGGGCATGGATGACACTGAAAAGTAAAATTTAGAATTTTAATCTAACTTCCTGACAATAGAGGAAACACAGTATGACAATACCAGAATATCATAAACCACAAAACTGATATATTTGCCTTCTCACCCATGTCTAAGACCTGGAAGAAGCTTCTGGCTCTTGGCTTCAGCCTGGCTCAGCCCTGGCCATTGCAGCCACTTGAGGGGAGCCGGGAGATGGAAGACTTCTGTCTGTCTCTCCATACCCTGCCTTTCAAATAAATAAATAAGCCAGATGAAGCTCCTGGCATTGCAGCTATCTGGGTAGTGAACCAACAGATGTAAGATCTCTCTTTATCTGTCTCTCCTTCTCTCTAACACTTTCAAAAAAAATATCTATATATCTATCTATATATACACATACATATTTTAAAAAGATAGTTTCTAACATAAGTATAAAATCCATGATTCTAATGTAAGTGCAGACTGCCGCAGTACAAGAGAGCCTGCTCACTGCTCCTCTCTCTTCCTACTCACTGCTCTGTCCTTCAGTTTACACGCTCCTATGCATCACTGTCCCTCTCTTGAAGGTCATAAATACGATGTTGGGTACAGAAACAAGCTTCTAGCACATTCAAGATAGAACAAAAAGTGTTTTTTAAAGATAACTCGACTGCCTTTAATACTTTATAAAAATATGTGAAAAGCAAAATATCAAAATGTACTTATGTTTATATTTTAAAGTCTAGATTTTATCTGTGATCTTTATCCCGGCTCCATACAAAAAAAAAAAAAAAAAAAAGTGACATTGGGGGGGAAAAAAAAAAAAACTCCCACCAACATAAGCTACAAACTAAACAGACAACTCCAACTCCAAGGTCCTGTAAGATTGCGAGACTGGCATTAATTTTAGGGGCAATCATTGTCTAAGAAGTACTATAGTAATCGCAGATCCAAAGGAATGGAGTTACCACTAATGACAAAAATCCCCCAAACACTGTGAAAAAACAACTAAGTATTCATTAAAATAAAAATTACAAAGTTAAATTTAGAAACAAAACAACCTCTGTCACTAATGCTTTTTTATTTACTGTGATTTCAACTAATTTGAAAAGCAATTTAAACTAAAGTGTATCACAGTCCAGAAAAACACTATATCAATTTTCTAACATTATTAAAATAATCCTTAAGTATTAACTGTATACCATTATCTAGAACATTATTAACCAAGGTAATTAACCCCCAAACTTCACAGTATTAAATTATACTCACTCAGAGCGGAGCCGGGCTTCCATACCATCTGGCAGAAAAAGTTTTATTGTAGAAACAATACACCCATGGGTAACTAGTTAAAACAAACAAATAACATGGATAAAATAATTGTTTAAAAATATAAAACTTCAAACCAATTTTTTTCTTAAAAGTAGTAGTTTCTAGGAAAGAAAATAAATCTAGTTTAATGACAATTAATGGCAAATTATTACCCTGGAGAAAATTATGCTTATTCATAATGAATCACGACCGTAAGACAGAATTATGCATAGAACTATTTCAAAAAGTGTCCTAACTTCTAATTCTGTAAGAGTCAATATAAGGTCAATTGTGTATATGAAAAAACTTCCAAGTAAGAGGAATATACTTTCTCCCCATGCACTGGCATTAAACCCAACTTTATTTCCTTTTCAAATATAGCCATTTTTACTGATTCTCCTGCCTCCATTCCGTAACTCTTATTCACACGCCAGAAAACTCTAAAGCTCTAAAGAGTTAAGAATACGCAATTCAATACCCTCATTTTATGGTCAAGGAAACCAAGAGTAAAATTGCTTCTACAGCTCTCTACTATTATGTATTGGAGTTGCTTGCTAGAAATCAAATTTGAGGTTTCTAGTTCGGTATTTAAATTTTTTTGTTCTGTCTTCTTGATGGTTGTTTCTTCTTCTACTTCCAACATCATGCCAGTCACTGTGTAGACAACTTATCACTGCTGCTTATTTCTTCCTCTTCCTATGGCATATTTTAAGAGACAAAACTCCTCCAAAGCAATACTTGTACAGAGCTTCTCTGTGTGTGGGTTTATAAAGAAAAAAAACACCTCATTTTCTAGTTGAAAGATTGGTGACTTTTAATTTTTATATTCTTCAGATAGAATACCTTCCAGTGTTTAAGAAATTAGTTACTAATCCTCCGCCTTGCAGCGCCGGCACACCGGGTTCTAGTCCCGGTCGGGGTGCCGGATTCTGTCCCGGTTGCCCCTCTTCCAGGCCAGCTCTCTGCTGTGGCCAGGGAGTGCAGTGGAGGATGGCCCAAGTCCTTGGGCCCTGCGCCCCATGGGAGACCAGGATAAGCACCTGGCTCCTGCCATCGGATCAGCGTGGTGTGCCGGCCGCAGCACGCTGGCCGCGGCGGCCACTGAAGGGTAAACCAACGGCAAACGAAGACCTTTCTCTCTGTCTCTCTCTCTCACTGTCCACTCTGCCTGTCAGAAAAAATAAATAAAAAAAAAAGAAATTAATTAACTTAATTCACCAAATTCTGATTAAAAGCTAAATGGAGAATGAAGAAACACATTATATTATGATTAGACACAGTGGTTACATGACTATATACAATGAATGACAATATAAAATTGGAGTTGCAGATAAATTATACCTCAATAAAACTGATTTTTAAGAACAGAGCTAAAACACTTGGGAACAAATTATTAAATGATAAGGCCCTTGAGTCATCAAGATGATATAAACATGAAGTAGTACTATCATCATTTGGAAACATACATTAAACTTGAGAAATTTAGCACAATTTATTCAAAAGTAATTTTCATTAACTAACCTATTACATGAAGGGTGCTAACACAGAGATCAAGAACCACCTACCACAGTCTTCTCAACTCTGCCTAGCAAAGCAATCGTGGCCAACTGCCATTTGGGTCCTTGCTTCCTTTCTGGCCTTGCTTCCTTCCTTTCTTTCTTTCTTCCTTTCTGGCCTCAGCCTCTGTCCTGCTATCAGAAATATCACATACAAAGCCAAGCTTCTTGGAATCTCCAAACACCTTACCTTTTCCAACCCTGGCCTTTTTCTCAAGCTCTCCTTTTTGCCAGTGATCTCTAAGTGATCCACCCCCTGCCACCTTTGGAAGCAACTCTTGTTTATTCTGTAGAATCAGACTTTCTAATTCTTTCCCCAAATTTCAGAACCTGAGTTCTGTAGTCTCACCAATCTGATTCAATACTTGAGGGCAGCAAGGATTGGTTGCTCCTCACTTTTTAAATCTATGTCCTTGCTATAGTCCTTTGTTACAAAGTAGGTATTTAATATACATTTATGAATATATCAAACAGCATGTCTGCTTATACTTTTACAGCTCAGAGGTAATGATGTTTTTTACTCTGAGTACAGAAAAAATCATCTTTAGAAGAACATAATCTCTTCAAGATGGAGAAGGGATAGATTTATTACAGCCCAATGGCTTTTCCTGAGAATTACTATAAGCAGCCTGTAACACAGGCACACAATACAAGTTGAAGATGCAACACTATCTATGCTTTACTAATACACAAGGATACTTCAAAAAGTTTATAGAAGGTTGAGTATTTGGGATAGCGGTTAAGACACCACTTGGGATGCCTGCATCCCATAATACCTAGGGTGCAATCCCAGCCTTGCTCCCAATTCCAACTTCCTGCTCATGCACATCCTGAGAAGCAGCGACAGCTCAAGTAATTAGGGACCTGTCAGCCACATGAGAGATTTGGATTGAGTTCCTGGCTCCTGGCTTCCGCCTAGCCCAGCTCTGGCCATGACAAGCACTGGAAGATTGAATCAGCAGATGGGAGCTGGCTCCTTTATAAATAATTTTTTAATGCTCATGAAACAATGGAATTAAAAGCTAAGTATATTTGGCGCAAAGAACTGAAATCCATGCAGTTTTTCATTGCATACATTTTCCGTGAATTTTTGAAGACCTTGTAGTGTGCAATTTTTTGCAGCAAAATAAACTTACCTTTCACTTATTAATTAGAAAGGCAGAGAGAAATACACAGAGAGAGACAAAAGGAGAGAAAGAGAGCTCCCACTCACCTTTGGATTACTCCCTAAATGCCCACAATAGTTGAGGCAGGGCCAGATTAAAGTTGAAGCCAGGATCTCAACTGGGTCTCATAGGTGGCAGAGACCCAACTACCTGTGCCATCACCTACTTTGCAGGGTACACATAAGCAGGAAGCTGGAATGGGGGTGAGGTGGGGTACAGAACTTGAAACCAGGCACTTCAATTTCAAATGGGGCTTCTAACCAGTACCTTTTTTATTTTATTAATTTTTAACAACTGATTTTAACTTATTTAGCTTCATTTTATTTGAAAGGTAGACAGAGAGGCATCTTCCATTGCTGGTTCACTCCCCCAAATGCTCACAAGAGCAATGGTTGGGCCAAGTTAAAGCAAGGAGCTCACAACTCAATTCAGGACTCCCACATGAGTGGTAGAGGTTGAAGTACTTGAGCCATCATCTGCTGCTTCCCAGGTTTATAAATTGGCAGGAAGATGGAGTTCTGTCCGGTTGACCCTCTTCCAGGCCAGCTCTCTGCTGTGGCCAGGGAGTGCAGTGGAGGATGGCCCAAGTACTTGGGCCCTGCACCCCATGGGAGACCAGGTAAATACCTGGCTCCTGCGCGGTGTGCTGGCCGTGGCGGCCATCAGAGGGTGAACCAATGGCAAAGGAAGACCTTTCTCTCTGTTTCTCTCTCTCTCACTGTCCACTCTGCCTGTCAAAAAAGAAAGAAAGAAAGAAAGAAAGAAAGAAAGAAAGAAAGAAAGAAAGAAAGAAAGAAAGAAAGAAAGAAAGAAAGAAAGAAAGAAAGAAAGAAAGAAAGAAAGAAAGAAAGAAAGAAAGAGAAAAGAAACAGAGTAGCCAGGACTTAACCCAAGCACTCAGATATGTCACCCTTAGCTTCTAATTCTATTGTCAGGGGCAGCACCTTAGCATAGTGGGCTAAAGCCTCCACCTGCAGCACTGGCCGGTTCAAGACCCAGCAGCTGCTCTTCCGATCCAGCTGATATGGCCTGGAAACTCAGCAGAAGATGACTCAAGTATTTGGGCCACTGTACCAGCATAGGAGACCTGGAAGAAGTTCCTGGCTTTGGATTGGCCCAGCTCTGGCCATTGGGGCCATTTGGGGAGCGAACCAACAGACGGAAGACCTTTCTCTCTGTCTCTCCCTTTCACTCTCTGTAACTCTACCTCTCAAATAAATAAATAATATTTTAAAAAAAGAAAAAAAAGCTCAATTGTCCATGTAATTTTTGGAGCCCTTTTGTATTTGAGTTGGTAATAGTTTTTTTTTTTTCCTTGAAAAACAAGTGGGGCTGCCACTGTTGAATATCAAGTAAAGCTGCCATCTGTGGTTCCAGCATCCCACACGGGCACTGGTTCAAGTCTCAGCTGCTCTACTTCCCATCCAGTTCCCTGCTAACGCATCTGGGAAAGAAGCAGAAGATGGCCCAAGTGCTTGGGCACCTGCACCCATGTGGGAGACCCGGAAGAAACTCCTGGCTCCTGACTTTGGCCTGGCTCAGCACTGGCCTAGCACTCTCTCTCTGCAACTCTGCCTTTAAATTAAAAAAACAAAAAAAACAAAAAACAAAAAACAAAAACCTTTAAAAAAGAAAAGAAAAACAGGTAGGATGAACTACAGAATAAAAATGCAGTGCTGGGCCAACTCCGTGACGCAGTAGGTTAATCCTCCACCCGTGGTGCCGGCATTCCATATGGACGCCGGTTCTAGTCCTGGCTGCCCCTTTTCCAGTCCAGCTCTCTGCTATGGCCTGGGAAAGCAGTGCAGGATGGCCCAAGTCCCTGGGCCCCTGCACTCACATAGGAGACTGGGAAGAAGCGCCTGGCGGCCATCTGGGGAGTGAACCAACAAAAGGAAGACTTTTCTCTCACTTGTCTCTCCCTCTCTCTGTAACTCTACCTCTCAAATAAATAAATAAAATCTTAAAAAAAAATGCAATGCCAGAGCTGACAATTTATGATATATTACATTAGAAATACTGTTGATCAGATATATCACCCTGAAGTTCAGCAAATAGACTTATAGAAAAATTTATAAAGTGAACCAAAGGTTAATATTAACTAGGCAGTACAGGGTTTCTGCACTATTCAAAGTAGTTTAAAAAAAATTAAAAGACCATGTATGAAAAACTGAAAAATTAATCTGGACAACCCCACCTTTCAAAAGATGTCATGACAGAAAGATACACACACACAAAGAAATCTTAGCATTATATTGGTTTGCAAAAGGCAAGAATATTAACATTCTAACAAAATTATCTTATTTTAGTAC